AAAGCAACAACATTAATAATCCAAATAATAAGCAACATAAGTGTACAAAAACTATTCAGAAGAAGTGCCGGGCTGATTCTAGAACCAGATGAAGAAGATGGAGATGGTTTTGGTGTGTTAGATTGCCACATCGGAAAATTACAGACGATGAACATGCCCTTCATGAGCTTAACTAACTGAGAAACTCCTACCCAATCATTAATTTACAACCAAAGAACCAAACTCAACTGAAAGCTGAGCTTTAGGACCTCTGAGTCAGCAAGATCAATAAGACTCTGTTATCATTTCAAAGACTCAAGATTGCTATGAATTGGACTGGACTCAAATTGATGAAGAAGATGCATCTTAGAAATATGGGAATCCAAAGAATTATCACTGTGCTAAACTATTTCTGGATCAAATTGAGTCGTGTTTGTTCAAAAACCCACTAGAAAGAAAGAAAAACCCAATCTTTTTTTTACAAAGAAATTGACAGTAACATCAAAGAAAGAAAGAAATCTTGACACCCAGATATGAATTCTTCAGAACACAGAATTAAACAAAAAAAGAAGAATAAGAAGAAGAAGAAGGATTTGACATGATTGCAGTTTACCGGAGCTCACTGCACGGCTTGAACTTGGCTGTTTGTAATGGTGATTCAAGAAACCCTAGCGGTCCAATTGTAAAGATTTTGAGCACTTGGTTACTCTTCATCACTGCTGCTTTTGCTATAAAAGAAGGATTGTTAAAATCTAAATCTAAGTTAAATGAAACAACTAAAATGAAACATTTAAAAGTAACCTGTTGTTTTTCAATGGACAATTACGGCTGTCATGCATAGTCATTTTGTTGCATGAACGACAACGTCGAGTGTGCTTTTGTTTTTCTTGACCCTTCTCCACACCACTCTTAATCCTCTTTTTCCTTCCCTTCGTGACTCCAATCGTAGGAGGATGGATTTCAACTCTATCAGGCACTTTGCATCCAAAATAAGTTTCCAAGTCTTTCCTTTTATCATTTCCAACTGTTGGCCCCATATCAGTGAGTTGATGCTCAAGGGAAGTCGTACTCTCTAAAATCACTTTCAATTTCTCATAATCTCGCCCTGCCAGAAGCATGCAGTTGTAAAACTTGCACCAGATATTAGATAAAATTTGATTCTCTAGCTTCGTTGTGTTAAATGTTTCATCAAAATGCACCGTGCCTTCAACAACAGCTCTTTTCTTTGCATATTTTGTCCATCTATCGAAAATATAAACCTTTGGCAGCTCTCTAAACCCTTTCCCATTCAAAACTGATAGAATATGCCTACAAGGGATTCCTTGTGACACAAAAAAATGGCAGGAGCATGT